TATATATATATATACAGTCAGCAAAATGGTAGCAGAATGTCGGTAAACTGATAACAGATTTAATCAGAAAATGTTAGCAGACTGACTTTATCTGAGGTCCTATTCTGCTCACATTCTGTTGACAGAATTTGTTGACATTCTGTGTTAGTAAACTGACAGCAGAAATCGAGCGGATCCTGCCATTTGTATCGTGACCTGTCAAATTGTATCGTGCGAGTCATGCTCGTTTTCTGCCGCCAATCTGATGGCAGCCTAGAGCAGGGTTTGCACAATTTCTGCTGCCAATCTGTTGGCACAGAATGTCAATAGATTTCTGATAGCAGTTTGCTAACATTGTTAGATATTACATAATCTGTTAGCAATCTGTTGCCTTTCTAGCATCAGAAATTTATAACAGAAATTTATAACTTTGCGCACAATCTGTCTTTTCAGGTTTGACTATAGGGATATATATATATGTTTTCTATATTTTACATTTAATATAAATAAAATATAAATAAAAAGTATTTCTATAGTTATTTTATTAACATAACACTTTCGCATATATATTATTTATTTTTCTATGTAAATAATTTAAAATAATAATACAGATGTTGTTTGTCTCTTCACAACTATGAGAATATATTTGCAAATAATTATTTCAAATTAAAAGTAATATTATGCATCCTATCAAATATAAACTGTTCACGAAATGTTGCTTATTTCATTATGTATCCTTATTTCATTATGTATATATGTTTTCGTTTCTCTTAAAAATGTTTTCGTTTCGTTAAATTATAATTAAAAAATGATATTTAACAAAGATGCCAATTACATATACACATAGCAATAAATGCTTTGGAATTGTATTTGAAACTGAAAAACAATAGAATGTATATATCTTCGACACAATATTTTTTAAAATTGTGGATGCAATTGTGATTAGCGTTTCAACAAAATACATACAATAAGAAGCGAGTTACATTTGATACAAAAATTTTAAGAATCGAATTTTTCCGCAATTAATAAAAATTGCGATTAATAAAAATTACAAATTGTTTGCGTAAATTTTTTACAGGAATGATAGCTCACTCTAACAATAAGTGCATATCTCTTCCATCAAGTCTCAATATGATCTAAATTAATAAAACAATTTAAATTTGCTTTTAAGTGTTATTAAATAAGAATTATACAAGTTTAATTGCATTTAATGGACGTACATCATCCCTACATGCATTTAAAGTACAATTTTTCTACATATTTGTGGCTTTTCGCAAACAATGTATTTCTATTTTACTTGAAAATGATATGACAATCTATTTTGATTTATAATATTCTTTGAGAGAGATGTGTATTACAAAAGATATCTTTATTTGTTCCAGAATGCAAAAACTTTCTGTATTCTTTCGTTGTACGGCTTTCCTGTAATTATAGCAGCGCGTTGTACTACTGAAACTTGCGAATTGCTTGAATTCGATGTTGCACTTTCTGTTTCGAATATCCTAGCCGTACGACTTACGTTTCCGGTAGGAAGAAATTTATCGCGATTGTGTCCGCTTAGTATCCTTGTGTCCGCATTCTCGTCGGCAACTGCAAAATTGTAAGATTTTAATCTCTTATTACTTTCATGATAAATATTACAAATAAATTTATATTTACACACACCTTTTTGTATGTAATTAGTTTCACACAAAGCTTTAGTCATGTCACTCTTTGTCATTGCTACCTTGTCATTGTCTGCAATAATTTCCGTGTCACAAAGATGAGTTTTTTTGCCTTGCACTAAATTTATTAAGATTCCTGCCGTCAAATTCTGTTGATTTTCGTCTTTTTTCAATGTTTGTTTGCCCTCTCGAGTGCGAGTCTCATGATCTATTTCTTTTTTGATAGTAGACACTATTCCTAGTTCATCTATTTGTAGCGGAGAAGTCACTAGATTCGAATTACAATCGTCTATTCCGGAATCATGCGAATTACCTCGAAATATTCTATGAAATGTCTGCGGTTTTGGAATCGTGTACTGCTCTATTTTAGAAAATTTATCGATTATTTCTTCATTACTTTTTTTATTCTCATTCGATACTAGAATTTCTAGATGCGATGTAACATTTTGTGGAATGTCTTCTATCTTTGGCATTGATTCGATACCGGATTCCATTTCAGGTATTTCTTTTTCAATATTGATCTGCTTTGAAAGAGTATTCAAATTATTTTTTTCTTTCGTTGATGTCTTTTGTATTGTCACATTTGCTTCTGTTACTTCCACACGTGTGGAATGCAAATTTGTCTGTGATTCTATCTTGGTAAAGTTTTCCTTCGTGCTCATCTCAATGTTTTCCGTTTCTATATCGACAGCAGTAGTATTGCTGATTGATTCAATTCCATCAGAATATTGTATCTCGATATTATCAAGTGATTGTTCAAGTGTAGGTGACGACTCCGCTGTTGTTGTGGGACTACGTCTACTATACGCCGATAGAATTGCCATTCTTCCCAATGCGCGAATAGCGTTTCCTGTTTTCTATTAAATAGCAACACATGCATACATTATAGATTTAAACGCATGCTAAGATTATTCGGAAAACCAAATCTAAACACAAAATCTACACAAAGAGCTATGCATATTAAATATTTGTGAATATTATAATTTACGAGAAATAAATTATCGGGTTAATAAAGCCTAATGTAAAAAACAATCAACATAAAAACACATTAGTCAATATTTTTAATGGTTTTTCATCTTTAATTGAAACACGCTATCTCAAATATTCTTTAATTTGAAGGTAATATTTACTAGTTAAAATTTTTTGTTATATTTTTTTCTCACTTTCTAAGTTCTTTCTAGTATTCCAAACAATAATAAAATTTCCACAACGAGTTTCATTGATACACACCTGCCATTTTCTTCGTATAATGAATTTCTTTAATTTCTCTGTTGGTAAGACTACTCTGCTCATAGCTGCAGTGTGTTGCACCATCCACGGATGTTCCAAACACTGTGTAGCCGACATGCGTAAGCTGGCAAAAAGCATAAAAGATTCAAAAGATTCAAGTCTATATGAATACTGAATAGTTTTCTAATGCAAGAAAAATATAAGAAAAAACCCACTCCTTTCGTTTAATGAGTAAGCCACTAATAAAATTCTTAGCGTCATTTGAAATGGCATCGAAAGCTTTGTCTTCTAAATCATAATCTGCTCGTGTAATATTAGCGAAAGTCTCAGCATCATTATCTCCCATGAACGGCGATAAACCAGTCAATCTACGTAGCATATCAATCAATTGGATATATTACTTAGAAATAATTATTTAAAAACAATACTTACAACACATAACAAATTACACCGACGCTCCACATATCCGATTCAATGCCGATCGGCTCGTAATTTATAATTTCCGGTGGAATAAATTCTGGTGTACCAAAGAGAACTCTGATCGGTGTATCAGACTTTAAAGTCTGAGCCAATCCAAAATCAATCAGTTTAATCTGATGAGAAGTTCGCGTACAACACATAATATTTTCTGGCTATAAGATAAAATAGAAACACTTTAGTTTATATATCAAACAAACAATTACAAACAAACTGTCATCCGTACAAACTGTCAGAACGCACTTTTAAATCAAGATGTACAATTTTATTTTGGTGCATATATTCGACTCCCTGACAGATTTGTCTCATAAAGAGAATACTGTCTCTTTCGGTTAAAATAAAATCGTCAGCTACTACTCTCTCAAACAATTCTCCTCCTGAAATACTAAAGGAGATGTTTGAATATTATAATATCACTAAAATTATATTGAATATTAATATCATTAAAATTTTTTACTCTAATAATTGACTCTAATAGTCGGACAATCAATGTTAGATGTACTTACTATTCCGTAATTAGCACGGTTTCACGGGGGTATTCGTAAGCAGCAACAAGTAGTAAAAGCTTAGGATGCCTTAATGCATTCATAATTTTAATTTCTTCACGGACTTGTTCGCGATCTTTCGTTTTGATCGTTCTAACGAACTTGGCAGCAAAATTCACACCTGTCAGACGTTCGATGACTTTCTTGACTACGCCATATCGGCCTTTTCCTAATTCTTCCAGAACGTCGTATTTTTCGCCGAAAAATTTGCCTTCTTCTGGTATCACTATACGAGGTTCGAAACTTGGCTCAGATTTGTCTTAAAAAGTAAGATATTTCAATTAAATATTTAATGCATAAATTTTTAATACATATTTCTTAGAAAAACATCTAAGTACGATGGATAAAATGAAATATTAAAATTATAACAAAGAAATAT